TTGTGGGGTTGTTAACCAATGTCATAAAACAACATGTGTATTTCTATTTCATGAGAAACTATTTGTTCTGTAAGCCTTCACCTGAAGTACAATTAAAAAAAGAAAAAAGAAAAAAAAAAAAAACCACAGCTTGGGTCAGGCACACCTTTGCTTTTTAAGACATCCTTGCTTTTTAAGATTTTAAAGAGATCTTTTGCAGCAGATTTGTCCAATAAATATGTCATTTGATTTCTTGAAAAAAAGAAAAAAAAAACAGCCTTGCCTCAAGCTGCTTTGGCCTTTACATTACAGCGAATACCTGCCATGGGTTTTAATAGACCTCAGGAGGCGTCACGGTAGAGCCAGTCCACAGGGCATCACAGCCAAAAATGCATCTCAGACATGGGCCAGCTGTTTCAGTGTTCCACATAAAGGCAAGACAATTTAAAAGCAGGAATGTCACTGTTCTGTCCTTCCTCTGAAGACCCATTTCAGGGAAGCTCATTTACAGAGATATGTCTCACTAGACAAGTGGGGGCAAATGAGATGCTCTGAGCTCATGTACCTTGTTTAAGGACGTGTAACAGGTCAAAGTATAGCTACAATCACTGGAATCCATCCAGATCCTGTGCTGCCTCCATAAAAACAGACTGTGAGTCCTGGTCACTTTGCTCCAGGGGCTGGCTCCTCCCTGCCCCTCCTGTCGCAGAGGACTGGTGGGAGAGGAGCCTGCACTGCTGCCGGCCACCTTCCTGGGGCCCACACCCAAACGGGTCATCTGGGAGGCTCACATCTGCCCAGCAAATACAAGGAAGGCCCTGCACGGGGACGGGCCCGGCAAATACGAGGAGGGCCCTGCACGGGGATGGGTCCGACAAATACGAGAAAGGCCCTGCACAGAGACAAGTGACCCTATAAGACTAAGAGAAACAAATCAGTAAAATTGGGGTTCTGGGGTGGAAAATTCATCCTTCATCTTTGAGGAAGATGGCAAAACATCTCAATGGAGAAATGGGAAGAAGGGCCGGGATAGAGAACGGACTTCAGAGGGAAGAACGCTTCCTCGGCGTGTTTGGCAAGAAGTACTCAGAAGGCAAAGAGGGTGGCCCTGGCGGTTAGGGAGGGGTGGATGCCTAGACTGAGCGTCAAAGGACTTGGCTTTTAGTCCTTGACCCACTGTGTACGTGGCAAACTCTGAGCCCGGGCTGGAGCTCCCTCCAAAATTGGTACTTGGGTAACAACAGAGGTAATGTTCACCCCTGTCCAAACACGGAGTCCAGGGAACGGCAAACGCCATCTGCACCCTCCGCTTACATTAATCCTGGTCTCTGACCCTCACAGGCAGGTACAGTCTGCAGGGGATAAGCTGCCTCAGGCTTAAGCAGTCAAATCCCCGAGTCTTCACTTTCTCCAGCTCGGCTCTCTTCTCATTCCCCTCTGACTGGGCTCATCACCTGCACCTATTTGAGACCTGCTTTGTCCACACGTTCCAGCCCATTAGGCACTTGCCCCCAATGTCCTTTACCCTCCCCAACACTTAAAATCAGCTGATCCTGGGAGCTGCTCTGATGCCAACCGGGGGACCAGCTGCTCCGTGTTTACCAAACTGGACAGAAAGTGCTAAGAACAGAAGAAAGCACGGGCCACTAAGGACTCCCCATGGTGCCCTCCAGCACCACACCTCCCACCTGTGCCCATCACACCCACACACAACTGTCCCCACGTGTACCCATCACACTCTCACACACATCTGCTCCCACCTGTGCCCATCACACCCACACACACCTGCCCACACCTGTGCCCATCACACCCCCAACACACACTTGTCCCCACCTGTGCCCATCACGCCCCCTACACACCTGCCCCCACCTGTGCCCATCACCCACACACACCTGCCCCCACTTGTGCCCATCACACCCCACACACACCTGTCCCCACGTGTACCCATCACACTCCCACACACACCTGCTCCCACCTGTGCCCATCACACCCACACACACACCTGCCCCAACCTGTACCTGTCATACTCCTACACACACCTGCCCCCACCTGTGCCCGTCACACACACACACCTGCCCCCACCTGTGCCCGTCACACTCACACACACACCTGCCTCCACCTGTGCCTGTCACACTCCCACACACACCTGCCCCCAC